CTTCCACAACACTCACAAAATCATTTGAGCGACCACCAAACAGCTAAAATAGCAAATGATTATGATTAAAAAGCAGGTAAACAGATCCCCCCCCCGGCAAACAAAGAAACAAAACCTGGACAATCCAGGCAATGAGTTACCAGAACATTTTCTGCCATTTTACACTTTATTTTTTCAATTTAAGTCCAAGGAGTCGTGCTAACAGGTTTCTTTCTTTGTCACAGCAGCGTTTTCTTTATCATGCACACAAACAGTTAAATATGTAAGTTTTTTACACCGACAGAAAGGGGAGCTTCACTGGCCTGCTTAAGATCAAAGTGGGCTATATGTGGCCTAAAATGAGAAAAATCTGCAACTCCATCTGAATATCAGAAAAAGTTGTTGCTAAGGTCCAAGATTGTAGCGTGCCTCCCCAAAACCCAGAAACTACTTAAAATATCTTTTGTTTACTTCTTGACTCGACATTTCTGAGCACTCAGTACTAAGATGAAAATATCCCTTTGTCCAGCTAACAGCTCTGGTTCCATTTATCACAGTCAGTTTTTCTAAGAAAGCTCACGCTGAGAGTCAGGCACCAAACTTCTCAGAGCTGTTATCAAATGAATGTGAGTCTGAGTGCTCCCTAACTACCTTCTCTCTTCTTTTACTGTGTCCTCACTCACCGTGCACTCTGCCCAACACCAGCGACTTGATTGCATTAAATTCCCCGTCAGATGTCAGGTTGAAGTCTTCTCTGGCATTTTGGTCAATCTGAAATAAATAAATAAATAAATAAATTGGCTTTTGTTCAACCTTTAATTTGTAAATTAGAATACAACACAGGATAATTTAAGACAAATAAAAGCACAGAAAATTAAAAGATCTGAATACAAATTGATGATTAAAAAAAACAAAAGGAAAGTTTATGAAATATTAGAACAATTAAGAAAAATGAAAACTGAAAGTTGAAAGTGCATCAACTAGGACATGAACAGCTGGAAGTGGAATAAGATCAAATTAAAAATTTAAAATGCCCTAGGCATAAAAACGAGCAGCATATTACATTGTTCTGTGAGCTATTCTAGTTATTAGACGCAGTGAGTTTTACTTTCGTGCCAGTCATTACTTTTCTGTCAGCGGTGACGTGAATCTGGCGCTCCATCCTTTTTAAATTTGATTTTTTTTTTTTTTTTTTAAATGTTCAGCTTTCCCTTTATCTCAACAGCTCAAAGGGAGGAATGAACAACAGAGTCCAAACTTGCAGTTAAAAACATTCAGTCATCCAGAATGAAATTCACCACTGGAGATTATTTTAATTAGAGCAGCTCCACAGAGAATATCTCGCCATGTGGCCGTGAAGAAGAAAACCTAGTCGAAATCATAACTGAAGTTTCCATCAAAGGGGAAAAAAAAGAAAAACTTTTGTAAGTCATTATAAATGCTGATTACTTCAACAAGACATCTACTGTTTGAAGTAACATTTACTTGAGGTCATAGTTACACTTCTTTATCTTAAAGCTCCAGAATGGTGTATTTACAAGACCTATTAGGAGAAATGGAAAAAGCATTCATAATGATCTTTGGTTCAGGCCCAGAACAGCTTCATGAGTGAGGGGAGAGGGGAGGATTAACAGATGGATGTTATTATGGTGAGGAGAGGTGAACGTGGCGCAAATCTGTAAGATTTACCGGTTGATCTACGTTGCTTCCCAGACCACGGCCACAAGTTGTCACCAAAAGAATGAGGTCATGGATACAAGTGGTGGAAATGAGCTTTTTCTCATGGGTGACAAAGTTCTTCCTTAGAGATGAGCTAAAGAGCTTAGTTATTGAGAAAGGGCTTAGATTAGAGCTGCTACTCCTGCACATCGACAAAGGAGCCAGCTGAGGTGGACCAGGGATTTCTTACTGGGAGGAGGCTCGAGGACAGACCCAAGACACCTACCCAGATGTTCCCCCAGAGAATGGGACGACAGGGCATCTTTGCTTAAACTGCAGACGACCCAGATGCAGACGTGGATAAGCGACTAAAAATAGATGGAGCGCTGAACAAACCAAAAACAAATAAAATACTAGCTCTGACCTTTCACATTTTTATATTGAAATTAGGGCACATACAACGCTAAAGAAGAGGGGTGATTTATTGCAATGAATCACATATCTTATGCATTTACACCATTCTGCTTGCTTCTTTCTGCTGCTCTCTTATCTGTAAGAGGTCACCACAGCAGGATATTATTTATTTATTTACTTTTACACTCAATGCCCTTCCTAATGCAACCCTCCAAGGTGTTTTTTAAAGGTGTGTGGAAATATGATGAGCTGTAGGTGAAACTGTAATTGGGTACTTATACCAAAAGTGTACATAGAAGTTTTTGCCAATCCATTACACGCATTGTATAAAAAAATAAGTTGGTGTGAATGAAAGTGAGTGTACTAGGAATCCAAAATTGCCATTAATAGATTAACTAGAAAAATAAAAACTGCATTAACCCTGATATTAATCAACTTAATGAATAGATTGAGTAATGAGGATCATTTACAAGGTCTAAAATACAACACATGTGCAGTTCCCTCAAACCATATTTTTAATTCAGTAGATAGACATTCACACAGAGTAAAGAAACATACTACGTCCCTGTAGTCAAATTTTAGTGAAAAATAGACACAAATAAACTTTACACCGACTCAAACACCGTCTCTCCAACCCAACCTGAAAATTGCTTGCAATAATTGCTGACATTAAATTGTGGAGGCAAGTGAAAAAAATGACTGAAGTTGCTATTAAACATGCTTAGAATTAAATAATGAAAACTCAAAGACAAGCAGGAAGTCAGGGAGGTAGGCACTTTAACTAGCTGCTTTGGATACCTATGCAGGGAGAGGCTGATAAAACAATTACTGGTTAAGAAAGCGCCCCAATTGGGTTTGCAGTTTGCAGTTCTACTGATATGAAATAAGCTCTAGGTACATTTTTATAGCCTTAAAACTGATATCACTGAAATTACAGTAGGTTTCCACATATTATAACCTAGATTGGTTCTTTTGAACAGGAAGTACCTTTTGCAGTCAGGTCCCTTGTGTTTACACAAAGAACTTTATCTTGCTGTCTCTGACAAACTTTGATGTACTATTTTAAGGATCTAATGGAGTGTGTCAGTAAACCTAAAGGAAACTAAACACTGGGCCATCTGATAACAGCGCAGAAAGAGAGGGCATGATGTATTAGCAGCCCAGGGTGATTTAGTTTTTCATTTTTCATTCGCTCAGGGCGAGAGGATATGACGGTGTCCAATTGTGAGACCACTTTAGAGAGTCTATGCTGCTGGCCATCAAGATGCAGCTGGGTGACAATCGATGAAGGTCACCTGATGTTCCCGAAGCATGTTGTAACAATATAATGACTCAAGGTGATGGAAACCGGTAAGATGAGATGCAACTCATATTTCACTGGACTCTTGACAAACTGCATCAAGACGAGGTCACCTTATATTTCATCTCAGAGTGTTGATAATTATAGAGACGTCCAGGCTGCTGGCTCCCAGTTAGATTAAGTTTACCTCATATATCATCTGAGGCTGTTGTTAACAAGATGTTAACGCTGTTCATGAGATTTAGATATTTTGAGGTTGATCCATATTTCACCCAGAGCTGTTTTAATGTGTAGTTCATCCCTGCTATCCTTCCATAGCTCTGCAGTAATAACTGGAGCTTCCTCGAACTAAATGAACACAGGGATTATTGAGCCTTCCTGAAGCGACATGATGCGACCGGATCAAATGGAAAATAATTTCGGTTAAAAAGTAAAAAACTTTTTAACAAATGGCAACTCGTTTCAGACAAATCATTTTAAACTGCTAAATCTGCCACATGTTTGTTTGAAACATCTGTGCTATACATTTTATGTCAGTGGTTTATTTTCCATGTTATGACTGATGGTGAAGGAAGTAAAGAAGGAGCCTATGCACAGCTGTGAAGTTATCGTATCTGTGACAAATAGAATCTGTGTGCGTGGCATGTTTGAACAATAACATACAGATAGAAAATATTAAATACAGAAGATGACATTTAAGTATTTATATTTTCTTATTTTTGGGGTCTATATCTTGAAACTGAATGGAAACGACTTAATTACAGGGGCTGGAAAAGGGAGCACATTAACTTTTGGACCATAAACGAAACAACATCCAATGCTCTTTACTGTATAAGTGTCGGGGTTAATAGACTCAGGTTAATAAAAGCAAAAGTAAGTCAGGGTTTCCCGATACGGACGGGTAAGTTGTAATAGGACCTATTCACACTGGGCTAATGGAGTTTGTTTTAAAACAGTGAGAGCACAGTGGCATATCTGGGAAAAAATGCTCACGCAGGAACTGCAAAACATTCAATCATTCTTTAAAATAATTTGATTGATCAGAGCACAGTGCTTTTTGTCCCCATCTGGTGGTGAAAAAAACATTGTAACCTTTTATTTTAAAGTGGAAGTCAGTTGAAACGGCAGAAATTACACTCTTCTGTCATTTCAAAGCTGTTAAAATTGAACAGTGGTGTTATTTTGTGTGTAAGGTGAGATGCTCCTCACTACTTTCTACTCACTCGTGCAGTCCCTGCTTTTGTAGTCTCTTGAAGATTTAAGGAAGCACATATCACCTTGTCGTATACTGTATGCATGTATTGTATAGTGTATATTGCACATAACCTAAGTAAAACCATAAATGTAGTTATACAGTATTTGTGTTCTTTTCCTCACCTGCACAGACACAGAGTCTGTCAGCCTCCTGATGGAGACGGTGTGCAGCTGTCCGTTGGCGAGGCTCCTCACTTTGCTCCTCAGCACTTCGGTGTCTCTGCTGCTGTCCAGCTTGTATCTCACCTCCAGCTTATCTTAATCACACAAACACACAAAGTTTTTCCACGTTAAACTTCTTTCTTTCTCTTGACGAAAACATCCGTGTGTTCTATAACCTTTACGAAAAAAACACCCTTAAGAAGAATAACCTTAGATTCGCATCTTTCGGATTCATCACTGAGTTAATAAAGCTTTCCATTTTAAGAGGATTAAGAGGTAATTCCCTATCAATAACAAAACTCTAAATCTAATTAATTTTCCTAATATACAGAGCATTCGGAGCGGATTTATATAAAGCAACGTTATTTCTTTGGGGCTTTTAAGATTAAAACCAAGGATATGAAATTATACATTGTCCTTCAAACACATCCATGTTATCAGGATAATATTTTTCAATTATAAATAATCCCATAAGAAACACTTCATAATCATGATTCACTGTGTTCATCTTTTAATTAGGTGTATTTACCAAAAAGGAATAATTACTTGATGTAATAAAGCTCATTCCCGTAGCTGCCGTTTCTGATAACGTGGTTTAGTTCTTGAAAGCAAGACTTAAGTGATTAACAATGAATATCTATCATTTTGGCTGAAGAATGTTTAAGTGCAGCAAAGGAAATAAGCAGAACAAGAGAGAGCTCTTAAGGATTTCACTGGACACGTTTAAGCACATTTACCTGTCAACTCCCCGGTCAGCATGAAGCCTTAATAACTCAGAGAAAGCCGACAGACAACAGGGCATTAACAGCAGGAAAAAACAACATTTATAGCTAACCAAGCAGCATAGTGCCAATTTTATTGCTGGATGCTGAAAATGCCATTCATCACCCAAACTCTTATTCCTGCAGCCCTTTTTCAAAGACAAAACAGCTGGACGTGTTAAAAGGCAGTAGAGTAGACAGTAGTAGAGTAGACAGGGATCCAGAGAGAGGATAGATCTGACAGATTCTTATAGATCTTCTGAAGCTGCTAAGTAGAAGAGGAGGAGAAGACTGAGAGAAGCAGGAGAGGGCAGAGCCTGATATGTGGAAAAGATGACGGGAAAGGGGAAAGACTGAGAGGTGAGGAGAACTTATATATATACAGGGTGAAAGTCTCTGTTTTTTTACGTTCCCCCACAAAATATTTTGGTTTAGGTTTGAAAATGTGTTGCATTTAAAAGAAGTGACATCCATAACAAAGGAAAAGATGGATCATTATCAGGAAAGAATTAGAGAAAGATATTTAGAGGGTGAAACAGTTGGTTCATAAATAACAGAAGACATTCAACCTCAAGTCTGAAGGACGAAGAGGAGAGAGACCAAACTGAACATGGAGAAGAAGAACTGCAAACAGAAGCCCTCTTAAATTTGTCATCAGGTATGTCTTACTGTAAGACAGGTGTTCTCCTCACCATGTTTATTGATGAGCACAGCCAGGTATTCTCTGTAGTAGGAGCTGACGTAGAGCAGCAGAGCTGGACTCTGGTTCGTCCTGAAGCTCAGGGAGACGTTTTCTCCTCTGAGCGTCATGTCAGAGTAGATGGAGGATGGCAGAGCGCTGCTGTTCCTGCTCATCTCGTAGGGCTCCTTGAAGGTGTAGCTGACAGATGTTCCTGACTTGAAGCTGGCTGACACCTCTGGAAGAAAGCGGCCACAGAAAGGTTATAGCACCTACCTACCTCTATTATTGTTATTATCTTTTTTTTTTTTAGCCATGTTATCGCTGACATTTTTCATAGATTCCACTAAAAAAGTGGGAACAAATTATACAAGATACAATTTAAAACAGGTTCTCTGCTAAGCTGCTATGTTTAAACACAGCACTGATTAAGCTCTTGAGCTAGCTGCCTTTTATTTATGCCTGTATGATTCGTAGGTTAGTGTGAAGTACCTAAAGAAATAAACAAAAAATATATATATTTTGAAAATGGTGGGTACAAGGACTGGACTAAAAAAAAAGTTAAAAAGCAGCCAATGTCCAAAGAAGAACTTTGAAAGATTTTTAGAAAGTCTGGAGAACCTCTGATCATGACCACTTAAAAAAACTACAAAAATGTCTGGCTCATTGCAAGCGAGAAGTGAGGGATGGCTCAAGACGTTTGCACACATTTGCATGTACATGAGCAGATCATTGGATTAAATAGATCCTGTGTTGTTTTTCCTCTGATAGAAATGACAAAATGTACAATTCACATATCTAAGGTTGCCTCTCAGTTTCAATATTCAGTTGCTACTGGTTATTAAAACTCTTTATGTTAACAATTCCACATAGCCTAAATAGTTTTTAACACCACAAGAATGTTCTGAAAAAATACTGGAGCAGGAAGAAAAAGAAATACTAATCACCTAAAGTTTGGCTTTAACTTTAAATACAGTTGTATCTGTTCTCTATTCAACTAATGAATCAAAGCAATTAAACACACTTGTGGTACGTCAGCAGGCTGAAGAGAGAAGGTGCCAGCAGCGGGAATGAAAGAGGGGTGGAGAGTCCTCTTAACCCGCTGAACTCAGTGAAATGTTTGTACCCAGACATAGAGTTCAATGTGAAGATGCATCATTAATGCAATGAATTTACATCAAACCAAAATACTTTGAGTACTTTTTAACGAGTGTCAACTGCAGAAAAACGATTCTGTGAAACAATATAGATGAATACCTTAACCTTAACATCCACTCTGAATATTTGTATTTATTTTTATTACCATATCCATTTATTTTGAGTTTCATTATTATGATAATTCGTCCTATTATAGTTCACTTTACAAAAATAGAAAACTTTGTCTGTATGTTCTACCTGACTTCACAGGGATGTAAACACAGAGTTGATTCTCGGGCTCGAGGACTCCTCCAGCAGCAACCACAAGCTGACACATAATCACAGCTTTAACCTTGGCTTGTGGGATATAAGAGCTTATGAAATTAAATGTAAAGCCGAGGAAAGATGTCAGACACATTAAGTGGCTCTGTGCAGCATGTGTGTTTATAACAGGTCTCCTATAGAGACGTCAAGGCAGGTGGAACCATTAATGTTGCTCAGTTCAGAAGAAAACACGACCTTTTAATGGCTTCAGCTTTTCAAAGACTGAAACACTTTGTGTCAAGAGAATGTAAACGCTTCCTGTTACTTCCTGTTGTCTGACTTGTTGATGTTACTTTTATTTATTTATTTATTTTGAAAACTTCCCCGTTGAGTTTTGCTGAGAAGATGAACTTTTTAACAGAACCTCTGTAAAAACTTCCAAGATGTGCCAGTTTTCTAGTTTACACCACGTAACTCAGCAACCAGTCGTTGGCAGATCTCCCTACAGTACTGCTTCTTTTGTATTTTTGCATCATCTGTGAGGCATACTCGCTCTCTTCCACTCCACTACACTAAGAACTTCAAGGATTTCTACCACGTACTTCTTTATAGGTATTTGACAACGTTGCAAGTGAAATAATTTGAGGATATTTGTTAGCGCCTCTGACGATGAGCTCCTTCAGCTAAACGACATCTTTACAGCATCCAGACATTTTTAAAGTATGACTCTCGCTACACTGTGTGTGTACCTGTTTGGCAGAAGACTCCGGTGTACGCTGACAGGTTACAGTCACAGTGGAAGCCATTAGCTCTCTCCACACAGCGGCCATGGTTCTGGCAGAGCGAGCCGTAGCTGCTGCAGTGACCCGGGCAGCCGGGTTGAACGCCCGGTGTTATCTTCGCCCTCTCCTCCAGGTCCAGAGTGACGCCGTTCAGCTGCAGAGAGCGGATACAGCCGCGGAAGCCCTTCTGCCTGGATGCTGTGCCTCCTGATATCACAAAAGTTAAGCGCCATTATCTTTACTTTCCACCCTTCTGTGTAGAGATCTTCCCGAGGGGTTGAAATGGTTATATTGCTGATATCACAAGCAATCAAGGCCAAAGCGTGCTCCCCGAGAACAATGATGCAACATCGATTTCTGTGTCTGTCTTCTTTCAGGCTCAGGCTTTGTTTTATTCTAAGTGCGCTGACAAGCCTGTATGTTTTTATTTCTCCTCCTCCTGTCATCTGTAGCAGATCCACATGTCGCCTCTGCTTCCCCAGAGGCTTCAAACTGTCAACACTATTTCTATGAAATGACACAATGATGAAAACACAATGAGGCAACAAGCTGTAGCTGGAAGGCTGATTTAAAGGTATAACTTTTGTCAGTCTGTCTATATAACATCCTTCCAGCTGCTGACTGTGTGTTTGGCAGCCTTGATGAATTACTGTCTGAACCAGTGTCTGGTTGTATGTCTGAATTTGTAGGGGGGGAGCAGGAAGGCAGATTACTAGACTTTGCGTTGCTCATTCTTTCCACACTTACCTTACTTGCACACAAACAGTGGAGAAAAATCAAAAATGCATGTCCACTTTTGCAAACATGCATCCCATCCTTTCAAATGTGATGGCACAGCCAGAGTTCAAACCCGACAAACTCCCACTTCTGCAAAGATCGGGGCTCGATCGTTACTGTCCTCAGAGCACAGACGAGGCAAAGCTTTGCTCTGCGTGTTCAAAGCTGACAGCTTCCTATTGTTTAGCAGCAGGAGCTTTTCACACCAATAAATCAGAGCTCTGCTAGACTCCTCTCTCTCCTCTGATGTAAGCCAACAAACTGCATATGGTTGAAACAGGCAGTTTAGCCAAAGCAACGCGAGTGCAGAGGTAAATATTCCCTAAAAGCTTTTCAAAATGACAGTTACTCTAAATGATTTACTAAAATCTCTGTGTTGACAGTGAGACATTATACTGATACTAGTATAAAGAACATGATATATTTCCTGGCGAACATCAGAGATAAAGCAATGATTTGGAGAGAAAATTTTACAGAATGAGAAAAAACTTTTTTTTTTAAAATGAGAAATAAGAGCATGTAATTAAAATGATGAATGTTGTTTCAAGCATGTTTTGGGTAACTCAAAGGTAACAAGAAACTACACATGACAATGAAAACGCGTGTCTGAAAAGCAAAACCATCAGAATTTGGACCCTAACAGAAACTGAAGGCGATGCTTGGTGAGATCATTCCTCAATGAATGATTAGTGAATGACTTGTGGAGCTAAAAAAGACAGATGGAGATCAACGCAAGCATCATCAGTAAGAATATAAAATGACGATTGTGCTCTTTTCACAAGATCATAGTGGCGAGTACATGCTGCAGCTGAGGCAAACAGTATGTGACCACTGGGGAGTAAGTGGGAAAGAATTAGTGGGATCAAAGCAATCATCAAAGGTTGTGTAGGTGGCTCAAAATACAAAGATCCCTCAAGCTGCTGGCTCAGGAAATGTGGTGAGGATGAATTCAAACGCTGTAGCACAGTAAGCTCTATGTGAATGATGTCAGGCTTATAAAATAAATACACTGATGCAATACAGGCAGGCTAGCGGCACACGCCATACATTTGCAAGGCTCTAAATATTTATTACAGTGCACTTTTTTTGGACTTAATCATTGAACTTTGGCTTCATATCACATTAGCAGTGATGCTAAATGAATGTCAGTCTTCTACGCAGTTCAAACCCTTAACAGAGCTTTCATTTTTGCATCATATCAACTGGATCCATATAGAATGCATGACTTTTTTTGATTAATGTAATAACTTTAACAATTCATAAATTGAGCATCACTTTAGTGGAATAAAGTACTTGATGGATCTTTATTCAAACCCATATCAGCTGATACGATTTTTCATATTGTACTGGCAAATCTCATACTGTATGAAGCATCTTATTGAAGCTGCTTCAACTTGCATACACAGGTTGCTTTTCCACTGTTTTTGCTTCTGCACAAATTTGTGTTTAAGGGCATGAAGGTCCCAAATTCATACTGTCGGGTTAACAAATATAAAGACGATTTAATTGTGGGGCAATATTTCAGCAAATCAAACTGAGATACACTAATTTTTCTATTAAGCAAAACAGATATACAGACCTGGTCACGGCACCACTCGCAGCAAGCAAAACACAAATTTACGGACACAGCGCAGCAATAAACTATAGCTTATCTATTCAAAGCAGGCAATACAACAAGTGATGTGAAATGTCCCTTGGAATGAATGGAAAAATCTTTCACTTGAAACTGCTGTGCGCAACTATTTTACACCAACAAACGGCAATAAAGAAAAATGGAAAAGCAATCCTATGGCTGACAGGAGGCAATAACATGGGCTATTAATCGAAACAATGTAATTTGCTGCCTTATAAAGCAGTGCAAGGAATAATTAAGGCTCATAAATACACTGTTCATGGAA